ACGGTGGACTTTTTACACGAAAGTGGGTGCACATGCGCCTACCAGATGTGACATATTTGCACACACATGCACAAGCACACGCGTGTGTGCACACCCACACATACACGAACCCCCCCCATGGGACGCAAGCCCAGGAAGGGAGGGAAGTGATCTCCTTGTGGCCCCCACCCCGCTCAGGGCAACCACTGGTGGCTCGGAGTGAAGACAGCGAGGACAGCACTGGCCCAGAGACCTGTCCCTGGAGGCTGCCGGGCGGGTCTGGAACAGGCTGGAGGAGACCGGAAGTGAGGGATGGCCCGTCGGCCCTCCGATGCCTGTCCTTCACAGACAAGGACGGGGAGGAGGCTGCCACCCCTCCCCACCTCCCGTCCCGTCACAGACCCGAGACTGTCTCCAACGACGGCGCACTATTTCGATCATGCTTGGTCTGCCATGGCCAGGTCTGAGTGGACGCTATCGAAACCTGTCAAGATCCTGCAAAGGGGGGCCTCCAAGCTGGGGCCTCTGGTGGCACCAGGCACAGAAGGAAGATCAGAAGGGCCCGGGTACCTGCCCAAATCTTTCTTGTCCCCCACCTTGTCACTGTGTGGCCTTGGGCAAGTTACTGGGCATCTCTGTGCTGCATCTTCAATAGAGAGGGGCTAGTCCTGACCTCCTGACTCCTCGTGAGCCACAGGAGGCAAACGATGTGTGGCACCCAACCTGCCCCAGGAGCTCTTGGGGGGCACACTGTGCAAGCCCGGCCCCTCCTCTTGGCAAGGCTGTTTGGGCTGCAGGCCCTTGTTCACAGGGCTCAGTCCTGCTCCAGACCTCCGGGCTCCCCCCCGAGCCCACTGAGCCTGGCACGGCCTGGCACCAGTGGGCACGGGGGGGGTGGTGAATGGCGGGTCTCCTGGGTGCTGCACTGGCCCCTCAGTCCCGCTGAGCAGCCCAGCTCTACACGGGGGTCGCCAAAGCCACAGGTGGCCTGGGAGTCATCCCTGCTCCCCAAGGAGCCCAGCAGGCTCAGGCTGGGGGTGGGGGCACCCAAGGCCAAGGCAGGGCCCGGGGACACCACCCTGACGATGGCCCAGTCCCCCTGACTCTGAAACCAGTCTCCACGTCATCATCCCTTCTGCTGGGCCTGCAGCTGCCTCAAGACGTGAGCCCGGCCTGCCTCACACGCACGGGGCTCTGGAGTCTCCAAGGAGCTCCCCCTGAAGGGCCTGGGGAGGGAGGGTAGCCGTGCACGGCCACAGAGGAGCGTCATGGGCCTCGGCAATCGGCTGCCCACACCAGGGGGGGCCTCCCTGCCTTCGCCCAGTGGGAGGCGAGCCTGGCTCTTGGGGCGCCCCCACTTATGAGGGGTCCAGCGCGTCCAGGGCCCTAAGGAGGAGAAGGGGAAGCCCAGGCCACAGGCTGGTAGCCGTGAGTGACACCACAGGTAGGGGAGACCAGCAGAGAGAGAGGCATCCCCGTGCAGTCTAGGGGGCAGCAGAGGACCCCACTTGGGCCCCCCAAGGGCCTCCAATGCCGGCCCCTGCATCTGCCCCTCACCCCACTTCCCAAGGTCTCCCCATGGAAGGTGCGCAGAGGCCGCGAGGACGCAGATGCCCAGCAGGAGGGCCCTGGCCCAGGACGTCATGTGGGGAAACTGAGTCTTGGAGGGCGGCCAGGGGCCGGGGCCGCGAGTGTAAAGGGCAGTGGGAGAAAGCAGGAGCACAGCCACGTGCCCGCCAGGGGCTGGGCCTGGGAAGCAGCGCTGCCCACGGCTGCTGGCCTTCCTGGGCCCTCACTCGGGATGGGGCATCGAGAGCAGCTCAAGGACACTGCGGCTAAAGCTCAGGGCTGGGACAACAGCCCGACACAGTCGCAAGGGAGGCAGGGTGAGCGTCCCGGGGCTCCCCGTGCAGCCCTGGCTGGGGCGCTCCTTCCCTCCCCGGGGCCCAGGACACCCTGAGCCCCAAGGCGAGTGTCCTCTTGCCTGTGTGTCCCTGACGAGGCACCCTGGAGACCTCGGCCCAGCAGGAGCCTGGGGCGTTGGGTGACAGGTGCCCTCAGGGCACCATGGCTACAGGGCCTCGGGAAGGAGGGATGTGGGCAGTCAGGGAGGCAGCCCCCGAAGCAGGCACGCCGGGCCAGAACTGCTCTCAGGGCTGCCCAAGCCTGCGAGCCTTCCCGTTGGTGGGGACTCCTCGCCAAGTTCCCTGGGGACCCTCAGGCCCCAACTCTGTGTGAATCGGGCCAGCGGGTGGGCCCCCGTCCTCACCTCAGCGTGCCCACCACAGACCCACACAGGGCCCCCAGAGCAGCCCACGGGCCTGGGGGTCCCCTGGGGACGTGGGCAGGATGAAGGTCCTCACCGTGCAACGTCTGACTGGAGAAGAAGCGGCAAACTGACCGGCGCGTCCCAGCGACACAGACCCAATTCAAGGGCAGAGCGACACATGACTGGGCACGCACCCTGGCGGGAAACGCTAGTTCCCACACTCTGCACAACGGCCATGCAGCCTCCAGTAACAGCAGGGAAAGCCCAATTCACAGGATTTATGAAGCACATGTGCACATGCACACACACACACGAGCATCAACCTGTGCACACACATACTCATGCACACGTGTCCACGCCCGGGCACACACGTGTCCATACACACAGATGCTCGTGCACGTGTTCACACTTGTGCACACACACTCACACACGTGTCCATACACATAGATGCTCGTGCACGTGTTCACTTGTGCACACGCACGTGTCTGTGCACACACTCACGTGCACGTGTCCACGCTCGTGCACACACGTGTCCATACACACAGATGCTCGTGCACGTGCTCACACTTGTGCACACACACTCACACACGTGTCCATACACATAGATGCTCGTGCACGTGTTTACACTTGTGCACACACACGTGCACATGTCCACGCTCATGCACATGTCCATACACACAGATGCTCGTGCACGTGTTCATACTTGTGCACACGCACATGTCTGTGCACACACATACACATGCACACGTGTCCAAACTTGTGCACACACACGTGTCTATACACATGGACGCTCATGCACACATGTCCACGCTCATGCACAAGCACACACACACGTGTCTATACACACGGAATCACATGCAAACACATCCATGCTCACGCACATGCACGTGTCTACACACACGGACACTCACGCACACGTGTCCCTCCTCGTGCACATGCACGTGTCTGTGCACGTGGATGCACACACAAGCATTTGTGCACACACTCATGCACACGTATACATAACACGCACACGTGCACACACACACACAGCCAGGGAGGGGCTGCCGGCTCCCACCAAGCTGCAGTCCCCACATACCCTGGGGGTGGCTGGCTGTAAGTACCAGGACGGGTTGCCTGCACTTGGCTTTGAGCAGCAATACCAGGCAGCGGGGAACCCCGGCTCAGGTGCAGGGTCTCAGTCAGCAGGCATGTGTGCCCCCACCAGTGGGCAAGCTCATGGTCAGGGAAAGGTGCTTCCAGGATGGGCAGAGATACTAGAGAGGTCAACAGCGACCTCAGCCCCCCACTGTAGCCCAACCTGAGCCCAAATTCATGCAAGAGCCCAGACCATAGTGGCTGCCCCACCCTCCCTCAGGACGCTCAGCCCTGTTGTGGGGACAGGTGGGGTCTCCTAGCTCCAGTCCCATTCTGTCCCTGGCCCTGCCCCGGGGCCACATGGCGCAACCCCAGCCCCCACCTGTTGACCCCTGCCAGCCCTGAGCTTTGCCCGTGGCTCATAAGGTGTTAACAGTGACTGTCATCCATGTGTACCTCCTGCCAAGCAGGGACCAGAGTGCTCTTCGGGTAACCACAGCAGACCCATCCTGAGCACCAGCCCTGCCAGCTCCTGGGGCTACGAGGTCAGTTAGGAGCCCAAGAGCCTTCCTGCTGGTCTCACGAATTTGGTGGTGCTTTACTGTGTGACAGCCGTGTGCAGGGGGCTGGAGGATGAGAGCTGAACCAGTGCAGCCCCCCTGTCATCTAGTGACGACAGTACACAGGCCAGACACAAAGGGAGGCAAGAAGGAAAGGTGACGCCCCACCTGCCTCACCCAGCTTCCCGAGGGGCGGGGGCATGGCCAGCCTCAGTCCACAGAACAGGGGTGCTGGCACCCTCCCTCAACCCCCACTGGATCCACAGGACTCATCCCACAGGAGCCTTGTGAATGGACACCGGGAGGGAGGCTCCCTTTGAAGGGGAGTGACAGGACTCCTGGTGGCCTGGGGCCAGCTCTGGTTCCCCCCCAACACTCCTCTAGCCAACCCAGGGCTCGGGATGACAGGGCTGTGATCAGCCCCCCAGCCAGGGTCAGCGTCCAGACTGTACCTTTTATGAGCACCCATGCTCCCCAACCCAGGACAGAAACCAGAGGCCACATTAACACCCCCACGCCATCTGTCTTGTCCCCAGGCCAGACCCCCCTCCCAAGGAACCTGCAGACCAGGGCACACCCCCTACATGGGCTCAGCCTCAGAACTCACCTCCTAGCAGGGACACGAGCCCCCCATGGAGCCACATTGGATGAACCTGTTCCCAAGGAGCCCCCACAGGATGCCCCCAAGGGACCAGCAGGCATTTGAGACAGGGACTCTCCCTACAGGCGGTACCAGAGAAGGGACAGCAGATCCCCAACACGGGCACTGCCAGACCCTGCGTGGCGGTGGGCAGTGGGCAGGGCTGGGCAGCCTCCTGGACAGCTGCAGCATGGTGTCCCCATCTCGGATGGGCCTGGCCCCAGCAGGTGCTGGAATGTGAGGACCCTGCCCGGCCTTTGGAAGTCAGTGGGGTCTCTGCACAGGCCAAGTGGCCTCAGCTGCACCCCTGGGTGGGAGCCAGCCAGGTGGGGCTGTCGTGACAAGTCCATAGGGGCAGTAAGCAAGGCCGGCAGTGGTCCCCAGGCAGCAGGGTGCAAGTACCCGGGCATTTCACCCAGCAGGCCAGGCCAGGGCCGATCGGAGCTCAGGGGTGGCAGCACGGCCCTGTACTTACGGGTAGACTTCCCGTGGGTTTTCTCGCAGTTCGGGCAGTGGTATATGTCGATGTCTGGGGCCTCCTCCTCTTCTACTCCCACACAGCTGAAACGGAGGAAGCACAGATGTTGCAAGTCCCCGGGGCCTTCCCCTGTGGGACCCGGGCAGCTCCTGTCCACCTCTCAGGAGGCGGGCAGCATGCACGCAGGCGGAACAGGACAGGAGCCAGGACAGCGGCCCACAAGGACAGGAGGGGGCATGAGCAGGGGGTTAGGGAGGGGCAAGGAAGGCCTTGCTGTGCGTGACCAGGCTACGCAGAGGGATGGGCCGTCCCACAGGCCTGCCTGCAGGACAGCCACCACTGTCCTGTCACCACAGAGCCGGGGGGCCAAGGGGGTCTCGGAGGGGGCTGCCCCCACCACGTCACCACGGGCAGCTTAGAGCTACGGGTCAGGCCCTCTGACCCCTAGAGGGACTGCCATCCCAGGGGGCCTTACCACGGTGCCAGGACAACAGGATATCAAAAGATTGAAGTCGAATCCCTACCTCACATCATATACAAAATGTAACTAAAATTAACTAAAATTAACTAAAAATGGATCAACCACCTAAATATAAGGCCTAAGGCTATAAGACGGTAAGAAGAGGACACAGGAGCACATCTTCATGACCCTGGATTTGGGCATGGATTCCCAGATAGGACACCAAAAGCACAAGCAACAAAAGAAAAATTAAATTGTGTATCATCAAAACCTTTGCTCACTAAAGGACACTAGGAAGAAAGTGAAAAGACAACATGGAGAACGGGAGAGAGTATTTGCAAGTCACAGTTCCGATGAGGGCCCAGTGTCTGGAACACACACGGAGCTTCACAGCTCGAGGACAGGGAGACACACAAATCAGCTTTTAAACGGGCAAAGGCCTCGAACAGACATTTCTCTCAGGATGAGGTACAAACAGCCAACAAGCTCAGGAAAGATGCTCAACATTCTTAGTCGTGTGGATGTCACTGGAAGGCACATCCAAACCAACGAGATACCACCCCACACCCGCTAGGATGGCTACAGTTTTTACAAGAAAACACCACCAGGAAAATTGCAAGTGCTGGCCAGGATGAGGGAAACGAGAGCCCTCTTCCATCGCTGGTGAGAATGTGTAAAAGTGGACAGTTTCTATGGAAATACTCTGACGGCTCCTCAGGAAGTTAAACAGAGACTTACCCGATGACCCCGCAATCCCACTCAGGGCATGTGCGCCCCGAAGAATGCAGAGCAGGGCCTCCGACAAATCCCGCACACAAGTGTTCACAGCAACATCAGCCCCGATAACTAAAAGACGGAAACCACCCAACGTCCACCAGCTGACGGATGGACAAACCAACTGTGGTGCATCCATGCAACGGAGCGGTCCCCAGCCTCAACAGGAAAGGGGCCGACACCTGCTACAGCACGATGGACCCCAGACACACAAGGTCACATACTGCAAGATTCCATTCACGCAAAATGCACAGACAGAGGACCCTCTGCCGGTGCGAAGGGCTGTGGGAGGGGAGCGGGCAGTGACTGCTGAGCGGGCGTGGGGTCTCCTTCTGGGGTAAAATGTTCTGGAACCGGATAGAGGCCATGCTTGCACAACAGTGTGAAGGTACTAAATGCCAACGAAGTGCTCACTTTAAGACGGTTAGTTTTATGTTACGTGAATTTTCTCTCAATCAAAGACAAGGAACGTGCCTCGTGACGGGGACACCCATCCCCCACCACTGACCCCGTCCTCGCTGAGGCTGGCCGAGCGCTCGTTCCGCCTGCGGCAGCATCAGAGCCCCTACGTGAATCTTCTGGCAACAGCCCTGCAGTAATGGGAGGGTCACCACGCGCCTGTCGTACGCGGTGAGCCGCTTGCCCGGACCCCAAGCGCCTCCTCCCTGTGTCCCCTGGTCCCCTGGCCAGGGTCCGCCACCGCAGCTCCAGGCCCCTCGATGGACCACCGGCTGCCACGGCTGCCACGTGCCACGGTCCCAGGAGCAGAGCCGGAGCCCACAAAGCCCCCGACACATGCTTTTGGAAATAGGAGGTTCACTCTTCATCTCGGAGCAAACACCGAACCAAAGTGCAGGCAGTCTGAAGAGTCGGATGTAAAAGACAAAGCCATCAGAAGCAGACTGTGAGGGCGTATTCATCTGCTCTCACGAGGCAAAGTGACTTTCTAAACAAGCAAAGAATTGCAAAGGAAATCACAGAGAACACTGACTGACTGAAACAGGACTCCCATCCGACAGCCAACTTTGAAGTGCCAGCTTCGGAAAACATTTACAGCAAGTATGGGAGCGTTCCTACCCTCCCGCCAGGAACCGTGCATGAAGGGCATTTCCTCCAAGAAAGCACAGGGCAGACCCCAAACAGCCCAGGGCTACAGAGAAAGATGCCCCACCCCACTAGCCACCCAGAAAGGGGAGCTAGAACCACATTACTGCCATCAGTCACCTGGCAAATTCACCAAACCAGACACGCTGAGCTGGTAACGCTGCAGGTGGGAGGCACAGTAAGGACAGCAAATGGCCAGATCACCACTGGTCTGTCTCCACAGCACCCCCCTCCCCCACCAGAGCCCCGAGGTCCCCTCCCACCAGCAGCCTGCTCCCTCCTGTGTCCTCAACACCCCCCACCCAGCTCCTCCCCACCCTCAAGGAGGAGTAGCTGCTCACCCAGCCCCTTCCCAACCCCCACCCCCCAGGCTGGTGTACCTGCCTGACCCCTCTGCTCCCTCCCTCCCAGCCCCCAACACCCCTGCCTTCCACAGAAAGGACCCTGCACCGTGGGCCTGCTCTGCACCCGGCCCTGCTCTGCACCCCGCGTCTGCTCTGCACCCCGGGTCTGTTCTACACCCTGTGTCTGCTCTGCACCCCGCGTCTGCTCTGCATCACGGGTCTGCTCTGCACCACGGGTCGGCTCTGCATCCCGCGTCTGCTCTGCATCCCGGCCCTGCTCTGCACCCCACGTCTGCTCTCACCCCACGTCTGCTCTGCACCCCGGGTCTGCTCTGCACCCCACGTCTGCTCTCACCATACGTCTGCTCTGCACCCCGGGTCTGCTCTGCACCCTGCGTCTGCTCTGCACCCCGGCCCTGCTCTGCACCCCGGCCCTGCTCTGCACCACGGGTCTGCTCTGCACCCCGGCCCTGCTCTGCACCTCGCGTCTGCTCTGCACCCCAGCCCTGCTCTGCATCCCGGCCCTGCTCTGCACCCTGCATCTGCTCTACATCCCGTGTCTGCTCTGCACCCTGCGTCTGCTCTACACCCCACGTCTGCTCTGCACCCTGGCCCTGCTCTGCACCCGTCTGCTCTGCACCACAGGTCTGCTCTGTACCCCGCGTCTGCTCTGCACCCTGGGTCTGTTCTGCACCACGGGTTGGTTCTGCATCCCACGTCTGCTCTGCACCCTGGGTCTGCTCTGCACCTCGCGTCTGCTCTGCATCCCGGCCCTGCTCTGCATCTCGCGTCTGCTCTGCACCCCGGCCCTGCTCTGCACCTCGCGTCTGCTCTGCATCCCGGCCCTGCTCTGCACCCCGTGTCTGCTCTCACCCCACGTCTGCTCTGCACCCCGGGTCTGCTCTGCACCCCGCGTCTGCTCTGCACCACGGGTCTGTTCTACACCCTGTGTCTGCTCTGCACCCCGCGTCTGCTCTGCATCACGGGTCTGCTCTGCACCACGGGTCGGCTCTGCACCCCGCATCTGCTCTGCACCCCGGCCCTGCTCTGCACCTCGCGTCTGCTCTGCATCCTGGCCCTGCTCTGCACCCCGTGTCTGCTCTCACCCCACGTCTGCTCTGCACCCCGGGTCTGCTCTGCACCCTGCGTCTGCTCTGCACCCCGGCCCTGCTCTGCACCCCGCGTCTGCTCTGCACCACGGGTCTGCTCTGCACCCCACAACTGCTCTGCACCCCGGGTCTGCTCTGCACCCCGGCCCTGCTCTGCACCTCGCATCTGCTCTGCACCCCGGCCCTGCTCTGCACCCTGCGTCTGCTCTGCACCCCGGCCCTGCTCTGCACCCTGGCCCTGCTCTGCACCCCACGTCTGCTCTGCACCACGGGTCTGCTCTGCACCCTGGCCCTGCTCTGCACCTCGCGTCTGCTCTGCACCCCGGCCCTGCTCTGCACCCCGCGTCTGCTCTGCACCCCGGCCCTGCTCTGCACCCCACGTCTGCTCCGCACCCCGCGTCTGCTCCGCACCACGGGGGTCTGCTCTGCACCACAGGTCTGCTCTGTACCCCAGGCCTGGGCCAGCTGGCCTCAGTTTTCTTATCCATCAGAGACCACACCGGTGTGAGCCCCCATCGCCCACACCCATCAGGAGCCATGCACTGTGAGCGAGAGGCAGAGCCCTGCAGACATTCAGGACCCACTGGGTCTAGAAATTGGACCCAGAAGCCACACCCCATATCCACACCCCACATCCACACCCCATGTCCACACCCCGTGTTCACACTCCAGGTCCACACTTCTTGTCTACACCCTAGGCCCACACCCCAATTCCACATCCTGCATCTATACCCAGAGTCCACACCCCACATCCACCCTGTGTCCACACCACATGTCCACACATACTCCTGCCTGGCTTGGCCACGGGGATCCCAGGGACACACAAGGAGCTGACCCAGCACACAGGAGTCTGAGGTCAGACTATCAAGCTCAGCCCCACAGACTGGGGCCCTTTCAACAGGTCAGGGGTCAGGTGCACAGTGGAGTGCAGAGGGAATGGCGGCTGAGTTCTAGGCGGGGTGAAGGGAGGGAAATCATCATGCCTGAACCACCCCCCACCCAACAACCACCTGCTGGTTCCACATGTCTGGAGGCCCCATCGTGCTCTGGAAGGCCCATGCATGAACCCGCATGACAGGTGGGGAAGCTGAGGCCCAGGGTCACAAGGCGTGCACGCTAACACCCCTGCCCAGCCCTGGGCACCCCTTCTGTACACCAGCACTTGGGCGTGCAGGTCTCACCAGAGCCAAGACAGGCTAGCCACTTGCTGCTTTGTGCAGGGAGGCCAGGCTAAAAGGGAGAGAGAGAGGTGGGGGCGTGGGTCCCTTGTTCTGCCCAGGACACCTCGGGGC